TTTCTTTGTCTCATCCAATCAGATCTCCGTCTGACAGGAATGCATCATCACCCTGGGCTATAAGAAGTGTAAGAGTCCTGAGTAAAGCCACCATCTGGTCCACATTCTCCTGCAGCACAGGTGAGTCTGATTTATTTTCTAATAGGTTTGAATTAAAACCTTTTCTCTCCTTTCCCCCAAAAAGCCTTAAATTGTGTATATTTTCTGAGACTTGCTGTAAAAGTGCACCTCGTAGTATGTGAAATGTCAGCATTTAACAGTGACGTGAGGCAGAGCTCAGAGGCAGCAAAAGTTTATTTAAAGACAGGCATTAAATAAGCCAACTCCTACAAACATTTACTATGCTACTTAAATGCAATAATAGAGCAGAGCATAATATAAATGCTGGAAATGTAAAGAAAATGACTTTTAAAAGTACTCTCATGTGTAGGATTGATCCTTAAAGTTATATTTTTACATAAAAATCTGGAAGAGGCACTTTTTATGTGCTTTAAGTAAATTATAGCATTTATTTTGCTAGTTAACAACCAAAGAAGCAAGAAGCTCATTAAAAATAAACAAAAAAAAACCTCATTCCAGTTTCTACCCAGGTTGAGCTTCAAGGCTTAATTTTCTCTGTGATAAATTATTTCAAAGGTTTAGAGTATAAGCTATAATCACTGACTGCTGAAGTTTGAAAAAATACACAAAACATTGATTCTGTTTCCATGTGACAAGTCAAACCAGGATTCCTAGACAATAACTTTGTCATTGACTCACCTGATTAAACATGGTGTGGATTTTGTGGGTGACTTCAGGCAAATACTGCTTTTTAACATCTAACGCCTCAAGCGCACTGCTCACCAAACGTTATGTGTTGTGCAGGTGTAATCCAGTCAGCAGTCATGAAATTCTCCCTCATTGTCGCCGTTGTCGTGCTCGCCCTGGCACAAGGTATGACCAGATTTTGACATTTTTGTTATATATCTATCGGGGAAGGTGGGAAGTTTAAAAACAAACAAAACACTTTATTTCATTTCTGTTTTTTTTCCAACAGGAAGCTTTGCACAGGAAGCCTTAAATCTTGACAACCTCAGTCAGTACTTTGAGGACCTGAAGAACAAAATGCCTCAAGACCTGGGTGAGATCATCCGCAACCCAGATCTGGTCAACCAGGCTCGGTGAGTAACCAACTATCTGCAAAACGTCTTCACACGCATGTAGACGTGTTCAGAATGATTAAAACTGGACTTTGTCCACTGTTAAATAACCAGCCAACAGCTCTTCTGTGCCTCTCAGTGATAACGTAATCATGCAAGGCAGACCAGACCCACACAGTAACCCTGAGCACTGCGTGTGATAGAGATGTTCTTATCTCTGTTTACTAGATGCGATAAGTGCAGGGAAGCTTATTGTAATAATAGACTAGTTACTGTATTTATTTACAATTACTTGGCATTTTTTGCATATATATAAATGAAATAGTCATTAATATGTGATCATATAAACCAAGCAGTTTGTAATTATGATTATCAAGCACTTTTTAAATAAAATAAGATTTATTTATATATCGCCAAGATCCTTTATACTATAAGGTAAGGACCCTACAATAATAAAGAGAAAACCTCAACAATCAGATGATCCCTCTATGAGCAAGCACTTGGCAACAGTGGGAAGGAAAAACTCCCTTTTAATAGGAAGTAATCTCCAACAGAACCAGGCTCAGAGGGTCAGCCATCCTCCGTGACTACTGTGATTAATATGCAGTACATCTGGCTGAAATATGAGTGTTTCTACCACTCATACTTTACATGTATTTATACCTAGATTGTCAATAAATGAGAGGTGTGAGCATGTAAAGAAGCCTGCCAGTAAACATGGCCAGTCTGGTGCGTTTCTGATTTCTAAATGTGACAGTGAGTCATTTTCTACCCTAACAGGACTTTCTTGGAGGAGAGGAAAGCCCAGCTGGAGCCTCTGGCCATTCAGATCCAGGAACAACTGAGGGCCGCTTCCACCAACGTGGAGGAGCAGCTCAAACCTCTGGCCACCCAGTTGCAGCCCATGTTTGAGAACCTCCAGAAGCAGGTGGAGGCTATGGTCCAGACGATGAGAGATCAGGCCGCTGCCATCGGCAACTAAATGAAAACGATCAGCTTGTCTAGCAGACGTGCCACCACATCACCATCTTTTGTCGTGGACTGAATTCATACAGCTGCTCGTGTTGGATGGCTGACTTGACATCAGGGAGCCTAAAAATGTGTTTCAGTGCTTGTTAATGTTTGACTGTTCCTCCTGTCACAAAAGCACAAATAAAGAAAAAGACTTGAAACACAACTTCTGTGGTGGTTTCATAATGTGAACTAATGATGCCTCAGATCGAGCATGTAACAGACGCGTTTTATTATTCGTTTTATTCAAGCAAGCAAAGGTCAGGGGAAAATTGACAACAACAGGTCCAAACATTCAAAAAAGAAATTGATAAAATGGCAGAAAGGAATGCTTTCAATCTTTTGTTCCACAGAATTCTCCTTTAAAACCCCTCAAAACTGAGCATTTTTTATTTGAACTTTTTCCCTTCCCCCCCCCCCATCTTTCATTCAACAAACCGGACCTGATGTTTCTGTTCATTGTAGGCCGGGCTGGAGACTTGTTTTCATTGTTATTTTTTTTAATATATTATTTATTTTCTTTTTACTTTGTTTTGTGTGTTTTTCAACTTTTTCCACTGTGAAATTCTTTTGTCCATCGGTGAAGCTGGTCTCAAGGTTCCACACTCCTGCGGGAAAAAAGAAAGAAAAAAAAAGAAGTTGTGTGACGTTTTCTATTTACAAGAGGCTCTAAATGAAATGAAAGCACTAGCCTCTCCTTGTTACAGCAGCTCTGAAAAGTCATACCTAAACACTTGGGACACCAGCTGAATTGGTCACTGTCTTCTGGGCGGCTTCCTTGGCCTGATGAGCCTGCAGTACAGCCACAGCCTCATCCACCTAAACACAGCAGGTCACCTAATGTTAGCAACAGCGAGCACTCTGCTCTCCTTTTTAAGAGGAAGACTCTTAAAATAATTAACGGCCTGACATTGTTGATAATAACTTGCGTAAGTACTGACCTTTGAGCGGAGAGACTCTGGGGACTCCAGCATGTGGAGCAGCTCTGAGTTGTCGATCTCCAGCAGCATGCCTGTGATCTTGCCTGCCAGGCTGGGGTGCATGTTCTGGATCAGTGGAAACAGACGCTCACCTATTGGAGGGACACATAAGAGATTTAAAGACAGGATGAACAAAGAAAGGCCGTGCCTGTACTCAGTACTACTGCTATAGTTAGGCTAAGGCTGCATTTAGTCATGGAGAGCTGCTACTAAACCTTACCCAGCATCTGCTTCTGCTCCTGAGGAGGAGCAGCAGCCAGCATGGAGGCAGTCAGAGGCTCCTGTCCCTGGACGTGGACTGCAGGCTTTGGGAAGATTGAAAATAAAAAAAATTAAAAAATTAATGTACATCCCAGTTTTTCCTCAGTTGTAGGGCAGAAAAAAAAAGCCATTAGTTCTAGATAATGAGCATTCCTACCTGCTGCATGTTAACTTGTGGCTGAGTGTTCATGTGCTGTTGGGTATTGCGAACTCCTGCTGCATACTTGTACTGAGGTACTCCACGCACGGGGGTGGCTGCTGCGGCAGCTGCAGTGGCTGGTCGGGGGCCCATGGTCTGAGTGGCTGAAGGGGGGAAAAAAGAAAAGAAAAAACAAAAAGGATGAGCATGAAATATAATAACTAACAAGCAGAAGAGTTACAGGATGTGTGTGGACAGTGTCAGTGGACTGACCGACTCGCTGGGTGGTCATCATGCGGGGCACCTGGGAGGAAGGCCGCACTGTGCTGAAGGTTTGAGGGCGAGGGCCTGAGGGACGTATTCCACCCGACATGTTCTGGAAGTCTATGGACAAATAAAATCAAACTGCTATTAATATCCCATTTATAGTTCATTAGTTAAATTCATTCAAGCCCAACACACACTCCAGAAGGTGCATTTGAATATTTTAGCAGCACAAACATCTCATTCTCATTTCAGCTCCTTTTCATACTTGTTCTGCTTTCTGACCAGATAAAGTGAAAAGTATGTAAATGAAAACAGCTTTATTGGGAATTTGGCTATATTAAGAAACAGTGCTGTCTCTGAACATCTCTAAATGAGCCGTTCAACTGAAGTAGACTATGGGCACAAAACGCAGGTGGTCTGCTGATTTTTGCATAATTGGTGAAAATAATAGACAATCTGTATTTTACAAAACATATCTTTCAAGTCTCTTTTAAAACAAGAATAAATATCAACACAAATATTACAAAAGGACAACCTCTGAATACTCACGCTGTGGTCGAACATTTTGGGTGGTCCAGCGTGGGCTCGGGCGGAGCTGGGCCATCTGGCCAGCAGCTGGGTAGTAAGCGGCACGGTTCTGGGCCTGGGGGATGGCTGCCATGAAGTAGCCGGACGGCGGGGCGGCCTGGTACGGGTTAATGACTGGATTTGGCACTGCGCGCACACTGGCCATGCGCTGCATGTACTGGTTGGTCAGGTGGGCTTGACGCTCCTCTTTCCTCTGGGCCAGGGCCACGTACAGCGGCTTGGTGGCTACAATACGTCCGTTCATTTCTGTCACAGCTTTGGTGGCCTCCTCTGGGGACGAGAAGCAGACAAAGCCAAAGCCTTTACTGCGCCCTCCTTCCATCATCACCTGAGAAAGAAGAGAAAAGGCATTTATAAATACTACATAGTCACCAACTGCCAGTATCATAATAGAGAGCATTAAAAGATCATTAGTGCCAGCTCATAAAATTCTATTATCGGTCATACCTTGGCACTGGTTATGGTGCCGAATGGCGAAAACTCCTTCCTCAGACGTTCGTCGTCTATTCCATCGTCAAGGTTCTTCACATACAAATTAACACCCTGCAAATAACCAAAAGTAATCTTGTAACTTCTTATAAACACTACATATACAAAGTGATCTCCAGCAGATGTTTTTGTCTGCAGCACATTTTTATCCCCAGGATCCACGGTGAAGGAAAGTGGGGCCCATGAACTACAGTGTCACTGTTGCAGCCATTTTGGCCAGTGCAGCCCACCAAAGAGGGAGCACTGAATTTGACAAAGCTGCGGTCTCTGGGCAGACTTGTCAAGAAGAAACGAACCTGGTAGCGAGTCATGCGGTCTTGCTTCATCTGCTCAAATTTGCGCTTCAGCTCAGTCTGTCGCTCCACCTTCTTCTGGGCGCGGCCGACATACATAAGCTTGCCGTTCATCTCCTTCCCGTTCATCTCATCCACCGCCTGAAGAAAGCATGAAATCGGGTCAAGTTTGTGAACATTTTCTGGCGGATACGATGTTTACTTTTTTTGTTGAAAGAAATTAAACGTGGCTCACCTTTTGGGCATCCTCGTGTCTTTCAAAGCTAACGAACCCAAACCCTCGAGACTTTCCATTTTCGTCCGTCATGACCCGGATACTCATGGCATTACCTAAGAAACAAAAAAACCTTATTGCCTTCCTTTTTTTTTTTTTTTAAATACCTCTTTATGCCAACACTGGAGCAGCTGAAACCATTTTAAAGTTGGGACACGCCGACTTACCATATTTACTGAAGAGCTCCCTCAGCTTCTCATCGTCCATCTCATCGCCAAAGTTTTTAATGTAGACATTTGTAAACTCCTTGGCTCGGGCACCCAACTCAGCCTCGCGCTCTTTGCGAGATTTGAAGCGGCCCACAAACCTGCATTAAAAGGATATTTTAAAACTTACAAGCGCATTCATTATGGGGGACAGTAAAAATTAGTACAGTTTAATTACTGCATAACTGTTATGACTTATTTGTATATTACAGCTATACACTTTTATCACAAACAAACTTCATCAACATTGCACTGAAACATCCAACACGGTTGGTTAACATGACTCAGCAGCTTTCAGAAATTATACATCCAAACACCTGGAAGCCAGTGAATACATTCACTTACACTTTCCGGTCATTGAGCAGCATGCCATTCATTTTCTCAATGGCTCGTTCAGCCGCCTCCTGAGTCTCAAAATGCACAAAGCCGTAGCCTTTAGAGCCATTCTCGTCACAAACCACCTTACAGGAAGAGAACACATGCAGCTTTTAAAAACACACACAGACACAAACATGCAGCAACAAGTATACTTAACCTGAACAGTCTGTAGGATCACACTCACATTAAAACACTGTTATTATTATATGGTCATGTTATTGTATATGAATGTTTATATTGTTATTGGTTGTGTATATTTGTGTGGAAATATTCTATGTACATATATTGTTTAAAATTCAGATCAGATGCCTAACTGCATTTTATTATTTTGAGTTGTGCATTTTTCCAGCGATGATACTTTGACTCTAACCTGTCTCACTGTTACCTTTTCTAATATTTCTGGCTTTGCAGCCAGTTTTATCACGAAAAGTATACCCTGAAAAATAACCTGCATATTATGATTTGTAATAAACCAATTAGAAAATCTAAACACGGTCTAATGAATGAATGTAAATCTTTCTCTGGATCCAGTGTGTCACTTTACATCCAAACTGACTGGTTCAGGGATGCAAACCCTCTCCTCCTTATAATGTTTTTCTCTACATCTCCACATTACTATGTTGCAGCTACAGATCCAAATTGACGCGTTTTTCCATCTTTCGTGACGTGAGGAGTGAGTATTCCGGTGTCAGCAGAAAAGGTGAAAAAATGTGCTAATGGGAGAATGCTTTTCACAACTCTGTAGCACATAGTCTCTAGTAGAGCTCTTGCATGCGAATACAATCATACGACCTGCTGAGCCACCTCCACCTCTGCTTTCAGGTTACCTGTAACAAAAGGGAGAGAAAGGGGCAGAAAAGCTTTACCTTGCAGGACAGGATGTTGCCAAAAGCGGAGAAGGTGTCATAAAGAGCCTTGTTGTCAATGGACTTGTCAAGATTCTTGATGAAGATGTTTCCCACGCCGCTTTTTCTCAGTGATGGATCACGCTGCGACCACATGATGCGTACAGGCTGCCCCTTTATCACGTCAAAGTTCATGGTGTCCAGTGCACGCTCAGCTGAAGAGAGACGGAGAGGGAAATGATTACCGTAGGTCTGAGTCATCCATTGTGTTTGGGTGTGATAGCAACCAGCTGATATGCAGGTTAGTCTTGAGAGGGGGGGGTTGTGAAAAGCTGTTTAGCAAACCAATGTGAGAAATCTTGATTTACAAGATTTTTTTCCCCCTGAGCCATTTCAAAGAAATGAAAGCAGCATTAATTCTGTAAAGGTGTTAAGGCACATTAGCATGTGTTAGTCATCCTGGTATTCCTTTCAGGTATCATCCCCCAGGGCAACTTCACAGTAGGTGCTTTAATCGACTTCCTCCAGTTCAAACTGGTCCTTCTGGTCACAAGTACATCAGCATATGTACATTAGTAACCTCTTTCTTTCTCCCCACTGAGAGCAGCGCAGCAAATATTACATCCTGTGCATTAATTGGGGCTAACCTTAGTTCATCTGCACCTTAATCTCAATATGAAACCCCTCTGGTGAATCTAGATGCTGTCAAGCATCCCCACTAGTTTCCCCAAACTTAGACAAATAAACCTGAAGATATGCTGTACATATGCATTTCAACTGGCAACAACTTTAAAATCAGAAAACATCCTACAAATAAGGTGTGTGTGTGTGTGTGGAACACAAGTGGAGTCAAACCATTAGGTAGATATGAGATGATGGAACAACATCTGAACAAACTGAAACATGGTCAAAATTCTGGCCATCGCTGTTGAAGATTAGAAACATACTCAAGAGTCCCTTTTCTCTTTGCTCAAACAGTGTTAGGCAGAAAACGTTTATAGTGGTGGATGGAGGCAGATTTGTGGCCTCTAGACAGAAAAGCATTTTGCAAAAAAACAAAACAAAACAAAAAAACACTTGTTTGAAAGTCAGCACTCTTATTTTTCCCCTTCCTTTAAGCCTGAGATCTGTGGACTCATTGGTTTAATTTAGCACTTTGTGATTTTTGTCTTGAAAGGTTCTATACAAATAAAAATGTACTTACTTATTTTTCCCTGATGCTGATAAATGTTTACACCACCACTTCTAAACTGTTGTCTAATCGTTTTAAGGGTAAATGTTGGGGTGTTGTCCGCACAGAAGGGAGATAAAAGTGGACCAAGTATTCGCTCGGCAGCCTGCAGCAATGCTACATTACTGGGGAGGGCTGGGCGGACTCGGTGCTGCTACGCCACTGCTGGGAGGTTCACATGAGGAGACCCTACCGACAACATGTCGGCCGCAGTCACGTGTAGTAGGAATAGGCTAGCTCTCACTTGTCACTGATTTCTTATAAAGCACATTTTCTCAAATGTTATATTTAAATAAATTACTTACCGTCCGCCGGTTGCTGGAAGTTTACATAGGCGTATCCCAAGGAACGCCGGGTGATCATGTCCCTACAGACCCGGATAGAGAGGATTGCTCCGGCTGGGCTGAATTTCTCGTACAGCATGGCCTCGGTCACATCTTGATGCAGATCTCCGACGTACAGGGAGGCCATGGGGTAACTGGGAGCACTGGGGTTCATTTTCCCGTGGCTGTGGAGGCTAGTAGAATAATCGTACGAAGCTATATGTTCTTAAAGAAAAAGTTTGCGACGATGAGCCAATACCTCGGTTGTCCAACGGTCGCTAGCGTCACGTCGGTTCGGGGCAGAACGTGATACAACCGTTGACTACAGTCAAGTCAGTTGCAGTGTTTTCGGGTAAAAGAATTTGTAAGACGGAGATGCTAAAATGGCAAAACGTCGACTTCTTATTGGCTTAAAACTGTCATCCAAACCTGACATGCAGGAATAAAAGCAAATATAGCGGTACTTGGCCTCGCTATGGAATCAGTAACACGTCGACTAAAAAAATTCGATACGTTAGGCAGCCCCTGCTTGTACGTTACCGTCCAGTCCTCGAATGTCTCCTCCAGCTTCACCGACTTGTTACAAAAAGAAAAGGAAACGGAAAAAAAAAAGAAGATTTTTTGGCGTTTTTTATGTTTTAAATTTTTTTTGTATTTTTATTTTTTTATAGAATGTGTGCCGAGCGAGCTCAGGAGCACACACGCACTCACACAGCACTGACAGCCGGGGTTGAGGGGGAGGAAGTCCTCGGGAAGTTGTCTGATATATACTACTGGGCGCGTCACCGAAATGGACCAATCATCTTCCGAGATTGTTTGGCGAGAGAGAAAGAAAAAAAAAGATAACAAAGGGGCGTTGACCACTACTCTACGCGTGATGATGAAATCATGAAAAACGTTTTGTTAAATCCTCAAAATGCCTGATTGTGCCCACCAGAAAGCTCTCTTGTCAAGTGATGATGCAGAAGAACGAGCTAAATTCGCGCTCTTTAGTATCAACTGGCGGGAAAGGCAATGCCCATATTCATATACATACATGCTACATTCCCAACTGCTAATCAGTTTTAACACTGAAACTGCGATAGGCATGGCTGAGACACCCCTCCCTCATTTGGCAAGAGTCTGAGGTTATTTAGGACTATATGTAAGGGTTTTAAGGAAGGATGCACACCCCTTTAACTCTACATTATTAAGCTTTCATACATATTTAGTGACTTAAGTCATTAAATGATACCTTTACAGAAATGAAAGAGAGCTTCAGTGACTGTCACTGATCAAAGGTGAACAGACCCACTGATCTGAAGTGGCCCACTGATCAAAAAAAAATACCCACAGATATAAAGTGAACAAATGAGAATATTTTCTCCCACATTCCACCTAAATGCATCACACGTGCCCTTTAATACATCACTATCTGCAGAGGGCAGTGTTTTCAGTCCAGGAAGCATCCATCTCTCGTCAGACCAGTATACTGTGTCTGATCTTTAGTGTTAATTTTGCACCTCAAACTGCTTTATAATTCTTCTACAGGCAGTGATATGATGAGAGTACAAGGTTTTATCCCATATAAAGGGTGAAATATGACATGCCATTCAAATTTTATTCACTTCAGCCACCTAAAATCGCTTAAATCTTCCATAGGAATTAATTGGTCAAGTAGCAGCTGTGGTGCAGATGATCAAATACACTCGAGTAAGTGTGAGCGCTTCTATAAAAGCAGACATTTTGACATTCATGTGTGTGAACACAATGCCACAACCTTCCCAGTAGTGGACATCCCAGCCGGAACCAGGAACAAGTATGGCTTGTTTTAAAGTTTACTTAGGAGAAACCCTCTTCTCTCTCTCAAAAGAACACGAGTACAGTAGGTCTTTGTTTAATTGAGTTGAAACAAGGATGGATGAGTTCTGGAACAATGTTCTTTGGACAGATGATTAAGATTAAGCATGGCAGTGGAGGGGTTATAAAATGGGCACATTGCATTCACTCATCCAACTATGAACTCCTCTATATACCAAAATGATTTGTCTGATAACTAAAGCTTGACCAAAACTGCGGTCATTGTCTTGCTGCAGACGCAAGCACAGCAGGAAATCTATAACAGAATGGTTGAAAAACAAAGGAATCAAGGTGTTACAATGGCTCAGTTATGTCGACACCTCAACCTCATTCAAATGCTGTGGTGGGACTTTCAACAGAGGTGTGAATTCCTGCAAATCTCCATGAACTGAAGCAACACCCTAACATTGTAAATAAAAGTGGGCCAAAATTCCTCCATAACAATGTGAGAGAGTGATAAAGTTCAAATTAACGTAGCCGAGGTCTGTTCTACAAGCTATTGAGTCATAGGATGTGCTTGACTTTTTCCCACATGACTGCTTGAAGCCCTGTGGAAACTTTTCACATGACTGTATGGAACAGCCCTCATTTCTTTGCTTTAAACATTATTTCATGCTTGGGCCATTTGTGGGTTTGTCTCAGTGAAATCTGTGAACCAACAATTCACATCACACATAAAGAACAGAGAAACCGAGCACACAATCTTAATTTGAATGTTTTAATTCCACTTACATGAAAGCACATAACCAAATAACATACCCAAGAGCGTTACTCGCCGAATTCTGCATCCCAACTTTTTTTTAAAACCAAGATACTGTACTTAGAAGAAACTGGCACTACTTTGTGATCACTAAATGACCTTAATGCAATTTCCTATCAACTTACCTAAAATTCTCATTTTTATATTTGCCATGGTTTGAAATTTTGCCTTTTCAAAATGTACTTTCAAGGAAGATAAATGTAACTGTATTCCACCTAATCCTAAGCAGAGATTGCCAGTTTTAAAAGCGATGCCTAACCCTCACACCAGACTACTGAGAACCACATACATTCCAGGAGTCAAATCAATACTCAATAAGGGAATAAAATAAACAAAAGAAAATACAAAAAACACCTGAATAGAAAAAGAGTAGAAAGCCACATAAAAGCACATGGCAAAAAGTATCCTCTGCACTGCTGAAGAGATAAAATATCAAAAGTTACAGTATCGAGCCATTTTATCAAGTTGTTAACTTTATCTTAGGCTGTCTATATAGCTTGTCACGTGGTATGCAAAACTGCAGGACATTACAGTCTACTCGTTTCACTGATGAGTGAAAAGATGTCAGTAAAATGGAATGTAACCCTCTCAACAAACCAAAAGTAAATTACAGCTTTTGTAAGTGGTCATTCATATAGAAAACCTTTCCTATGCCTGAAAGCACTGTAAAAACCCATTGAGCCATGACACATGTACCATCCATTTTAAAAAAAAAAAAAAAAAAAAAAATCTCTACCTGCTACACTGGACACTGACAGGGCCGTATGGATACAAGCAATACCGTAATAGGTGAAACCTGCCAACAGTATGTGTGTACTGCTATTGTCAGATGAAGAAAAAAAGTAATGAATTCAGACTACTGTGACCATTTTTTTCCTTTTTAACACGTGCCTCAAAGGAGTTTTGTGGACTAAAGTGTCACAAAGGTTGTAAATGTTCAGTTCAAGTAAAAACATACAAATTATTATCAAAGTTACACTTCGAGGTTGGTTGGTTTGCTTTCCTGCAACAGCAGCGGTTTGCTACAGTGAATAAGGTTGGAGAGAATGGGGCAGATTTGGATCCAAAGGAGGGATTTCATTTGGACTAAAAGAGACAAAATTATTTAAAGGAAAAGAATTCTAAAGGAAATGAACATCCACTGGGTCACACAATGAGTTATGTTAAAAAAAATAAAAACAACCAATCTATTCCATTCTTTTCCCTGTGGAGGTGTTGATACACTTAACACATACACTTCAATGCTTCAATGTATCTGCACACACATACTGTACTTTACACACAGAGTGGAGTGTAAACATACATATTTGTGCATGTATGTGGACACACAACCACACACAACTTAGGCTGGTGAGAGGTTAAAAAAAAAAAAAAAAAAGGAAAGAAAACTGTGGGGTTTCTTTTCTCGTCTGAAGTTCAGTTCTTGTCTTCAGCTGGCTGCTCCCCCTCTTCTACCTCAATCCCGCCCTCACCGCTTGGGTCCGACATCCACAGCTGCATTTAAAAAGTGCAAGATAATAAATTTAGCGCTCACGTATAAGCATAAGGGAAAACCAAATTTTAATATAGTTTCATCGAGAGGAGACACTCACAGTCAGGTTGTCACGGAGCAGCTGCATGATCAAGGTGCTGTCTTTGTAAGATTCAGTGTTGAGTGAGTCCAGCTTGGCGATGGCATCATCAAAGGCCTGGAAGACACACAGTGAAACAATCAGGACTTCCAAAACCCAGAGTACAGTCTTGAAAGTGCCTACAGTGAGCTTGTATTAGCAGGGCCAAAAACAATAAGCTAAACAGAAAGCAACAACAAGCAGCCATTTATAGATCTCTAGGATAAAAGGGTACATCTGTGTTGTGCCTGATACTGTAAACTACTTTGATTATATGGGGTGGTCTTTTAGAAACAAGTACAAGTGTTTGCACAAAACTGTGCTCTGGCAGACCATTTATTCACAAATCCATAAACACACTGAATTATTTTAGCCTTTTCCTAACTTAATAAATTACTAATTATTTAATGCAGACAATTCCATCCATGCTGATACAGGCAGGTGATGTGAGCGTCCCTTGTCACGTCTGGTAAATGATCACACCAGGTGTGTACCTTGCATGCGTTTCCTGTGACCTGGGCAGGTGAATAGTGTGTTCACTGTTCAAACGAACTGAATGATAAGCACAACATGGATCACCTACTGTATCGAATGACAAAAAAAAAGTGCCCCAAAGACGTCAACACAAGAAGTTATATAAAAATCTAGCGGCGAGCTGTTGTTATGTGATGCCAGGAATGTCCAGACTACTGCGGTGTCCATCAAATTATTTATTTTTTCTTTCAATAGTATGTTCTCTCATAGTGTGATGAAAGGTATTGCAGTGAGGTTCAGCTTTACCTGTGGTTGCTAGGATATTTAAAAGTAGAACAGGAGGCAGAACCTTAAGCTTTCAGGCTCCTCTTCTGTGGAACCAGCTCCCAGTTTGGATTCGGGAGATAAACACCCTCTTTACTTTTATGATTAGGCTTAAAGCTTCCCTTTTTGATAAAGCTTATAGTTAGGGCTGGATCAGGTGGTCACAAACGCTTCCATAGTTATGCTGCTGGGGAATTCCAATGGTGCACTGACTGTTGGTTGTTGGCTGCCCCTGCCAGAATTATCCATCTGTCCATTCGCTTCCGCTTACCATTTTCAGGGTCACAGGGGAAGCTGGAACCTATCCCAGCTGTCTTAGGGCGAGAGGCAGGGTACTCCCTGGACAGGTCGCCAGTCTGTCGCAGGGCTAACACTTAGACTGGAGACAAGCAATCGCATTCGCTCCCCCATTCACACCTATGGGCAATTTAGTGTTTCCAATTAACCTGTCCCCACTAACTGCATGTCTTTGGACTATATTCGCGTAGTTTCTCCCCGGGTACTCCCGCTGCCAGAATTATCTTCCTCTTGAATTCGTTTTTTTTCCTTAAAGTGACCTTTGTTGTATTTATAAATAAATCTGAACTGAGCTGAAAATTGAATTCAAAATACGAGTCCGTTGCTTTATTGGAGGGTTTTAGTCTTCTTGCCTGGGCACAGTAAATTTGTGGGATCCTGACATGTGGTTGCCATAGGTTAACATGGAAATTACAAGAAATTTCTAAATGATAATCATTAGCAGCTTTATTTTACTTTATAGCAGTGACTTTGGTTTAATAGTGTGTGGCGATACTAACAGATTCCATCTAAACCTAAATCTCACTTTGATTTGATTGGTCACCGTGAAATAAAAGTCTGAATGAATTATATCACTATTTTAAAAAAAATTCAAAGCTTTATCCCACACCCGACAGTTACACTGTTACCCCTATCTTTAGTCTCTGAGTAACACGGACAACAGAAGACCCAACGGCCAAGCAGTCACTCCTGTTATACCCGTTTTACTTCTCTGAAGTGTGCTGGCTGTAACACATTCATAGTTCGTGCATTACAGTGCACTAACTAAGCATGGTCACAAAAAAACAAGAATACAGGCAGGCACAAAGACATCCATTCGAGCACTTACTGTCCGATCATTTGGACACAAGTGGACCCTAACAGTCGTGGAAGTGGAAAGGCTTAATGTTGTCTTTGGTATCAATTACATTAATCAAGGGTCTGTACTTTTATCAGCAATTCCTCAGAATGTTGTGAAAAAGAAACGCTGCCTTTACTCCCCCATTTTTCAAGGTCTCCTTTAACAAAATCCTAAAGTTTAAAGAGTACTGTAAGCAGAAAATTTTAAAAGACTCATCATCCTTTCCGCTGACAAACTAACAGTGTAGTTTCAAGCATAACCTTATTTCCACCAAAGGGTTAGGGTCATACCAATCAGAGTCAAGTCAGAGACATGGAGATTAGCAGCAGTGTGAGGACCGGAGATAGCAGAATATCAATTTAATCTTCAGACTCATGGCAATGATAGGCACAGAAACCACTGAGTGACACTCAGCTACGAGAGAGTGCACGCGTGCTACTAAGTGTATTTATTATTTTTATGTATCCATAAGGTGATATGCATGACATTAATAATGGCCTCAAAATCAGTACCTGTACACCTCTGGTGGAAAAGTGGTACTAACATCATTTTCATGATGCTTCAGTGCTTTTTAAAGAGAGGGACAACAAACAGAGGACCCTTCTTACCGTCTTGGCCAGTTTGCAAGCCTCCTCAGGCAGGTTTGCAATCTCGTAGTAGAAGACGGAGAAGTTCAGCGCAAGGCCCAGGCGGATGGGATGTGTAGCCTCCATTTCCTTTAGGCTGATGTCATAGGCATCCTGGTAGCCACCTTGTGAGTTCTTAACAATTTCTGCACAAGCAAAAAAGCAGATATGGTTTCAAATGAGAAAAATTATTTCTTGGAAACCACACACTGAATTTTTAGAAGTTAGACAACAACAAAAATACATTAAACAAAAAAGTAAAATCATCTGATTAATATTTCTATTCAGCTCCACTGTCAAGTACAGGTCCTCAGAACCAAAAAGATGAAGTATCCAATCATTTGAAAGCAGATTTGATGGATATTTTATGGAATATGTAACAAAAGAACACAATCTTTTACAAAACCACCCAAATTTAACAAAAGAAAATTAATCTAAAATGCCTTCTGGCAACTAGAAGCAGCCAACACCCTGCTGCTGCTGCAGTTGCCATGACAACCTCGCAGCAGCACTTGCCAGCATTTTGGCGGACAGTTGTAGGTCAAGGACGAGAAGCACGTTAGCATTCTGGCTAAAAACAACACCTGAACCAGTCCTAGGGTCTCCTACCCTAAAAAGGATTTTCAGGACGCCCAGTCAGCACACGTTCATCCCACCGACCGGCAGCTGCGTGACACACCACCGCATGGTTTTCATAAACCCTGAGCATAAGCACTCACTATCACTACCTTGAGTGACTGCACGACAGGATAAGAAGAAGGGGCGGTGTATGACGTCTGTTTTATTTACCGTTCCTCTCGGCTCCGGTAGCCACCTCAGCCAGGTAGCGGAAGTAGTCTCCCTTCATCTTCAGGTAGAAGACTTTGCCCTCTGCGCCTGATGCTTTGGGGATCAGATATTTGTCGAGCAGGTCCTGCGAAAAGAAATGTGGAAGTTTAACTCTAAAGAACACGTGCAACACACACAAACCCCAGCAGTTATAAGTGAGCCAGTGACATTTTTAACTCCTTTTCCCTAATGGCTGCCTCACTGGGCCAGGGTGCTGTTATGGAGGTGCTCAGTATCATTCAGTTACTTCATCCAGAGGGGATTTCCTCACATGGTTGAATGTATTCCAAATCCACCACCTACACTGGAAGTCGCAACAGCAGTTCTCATGCTTTTGAGATCAACAGCGATCACGTATCTGCAGCAGGTGGAGAAGTGCTCCACATGCTGCTATGTAGATCTCACCCAGGCTGCACTGCAGAACAAGACCTACTGTTTGCTGCAGTCCAACCGAGCTTTGCTATTTTTTCTTTACAAAGTATACTTGGTAAATAATTTAAATATCTTTTTATAAGTTTGTAAGAGTGAATGTGTCTCCCTTTATATGTGCATTTCCCCATTTCCACCACAATTAACATGAAATATGTAGAAATCACTCGACAGATATGTTAAGAGTACACACCTGTCCAGTGAAACTATGAGCAGGGAACATTCCTCTTCCTTTAACGTAGCTGCCAATCATATTCTAGGCCTTAAAATTCTAGGCTACACCCATCTGATTCATCATGTGGACTTTGGCAGGAAGTGCTGAACTTTTTAGTCCTATTTCATGCGCTGCAATTTTAATGCGTACTGGACGCTTCCTGTGTATAAGTTAATATAAAACATCAAAGACAGTTTCATTTGAGTAAAATATACTAATCTACTTATAGTAGAGCTAGATATGCTTTACAACATGCAAACTTTCGTCTATGGAGTTGAATCAGTGTAGTGGGCCTATATGTTTAAGTTTCCTTTTAAAGGTCAAAAGGTCACAGGGCTGTGAATCCGCAAATACAGGATGTATCCAAACTACCCAAATACTGAAGTTTATCTGTGTGATATTCAAACAACTGCTAGGAAGAGTGCCTTCATTTGCCTACTTGGTGTTCATAGTTCCAACTGTGTAAGATGGGCCTAAATACTACAGCTAAGATATTCAGAGGTGAACAGCGACGTAAGTAAAGCCATATTAACCTAGACAAGTGCTTGTATGCTGAGAACTATGACTAATATTTAAATCCTGTTAGCTGCAGGTTTATATTGTCCCTCTTTAGATCCCTACCACATAAACACAAGCACCACAACATACCTGTAGGTGTCACTAATGTGTAAAAAGCATGGTTCTACTACTACTTTTTGTAAGGGATGTGTGTTTGCTTCCATTCATAAGGAAGCTGTTCTTTTTCTTTTTAAACTGCTGTCGATGTTGGCTTTTGCAGCTTGATTATATATATATATACACATACACACATATACACACACACACACACACACACACACACACACACACACTAGACAGAGGTGACCAAGACCGGCCACTATCTCAATACAGGTTGGACTAATACAAAGAGGAGCAGCTGCTGTGCATTTATATTTTCTTGCAACAAGCATTTAGCTTCAACACCTCTGCTCCTCCTTACCCGAACTTCCTGGCAGATCTCTTTGAGCTCCCCCTCGATCTTCTCTCTGTACTCCTTGACCAGCGTGGCCTTCTTTTCGCTTTCAGGCGTCTTTTCGCTTTCAGGCGTCTTTTCGGCTTCAGCCTTCTTTTCGGCTTCAGCCTTCTGCTCGATGCTGGAGATCACCCTCCAGGAGGACCTTCGAGCTCCGACCACATTCTTGTAGGCAACAGAGAGCAGATTGCGCTCCTCGTTGTTGAGCTCCTGGTTCAGCTCTGTGACAGCCTTCATGGCTGCAGCCATGTCCTCGTAGCGCTCAGCCTGCTCGGCCAGTTTGGCCTTCTGTACCAGCTCCTCTCTGTCTGCCATGACTGTCATGTGGGGGTGGAGGAAGGAGAGAGGAAAGGGAGTCAGGAAGGACAAAACAAACAGGACAGGAGTTAAGGACGGTGTGTTAAGGGAGGCCAAGCAAAGAAATTGTAGAGAGAGAAAAAGTAGATTTCATTACTATATGTGAATAATGGAGGACTACTGTGCAAGTAAATGTGCTGTTATTCCAGCATAACCTCATTTCTCAGGTATGTGTTAAACATTTTGACTGTGAAGACATCCCCATTTTTAACAAAAAAAAAAAATGTATATATATATATTACAGTTAGTTAACTGTGAGAAAATAGAACATTTATAACCTTGAAGCATATTACATAATCAAAAACTCTGACAGGACTGTAGCTAAAACAACAGTGTGTCGGCTGTTAAGAATTCATGGGAACACTGGGTGTGTCCACACCAGCAAAGCACCTTTTTTTTTCTTAAATACAAATCAATCTGCTTGTCTCGTCTTCACTCGATCGGGCACAGACTTGATTTAAAGTGGTGACTAAATCATTTGGACTCTTAAGTCTTTAGAAATACAAAGGGGGAAAGTGCCTATAATCACGACTTGTACAGCAGATACAGTTTTAGGCTTCTTCTGACTCACTATCCTGAAGACAAGAATAGGCAAAATGTCATAATAGATCACAGGAAAAGTGTAGCTGGCATGTAAAAAAAAATTATAAGTGGTTATGAAATTCCAGAAAATTTACATTAGATGATGGACATTTCCCCAGAAATCAGTGGTCATCAGTGGTTATTTTTTTATTAGTCTACAGACTATTTTATATCATTTAGTCCTTCCATCAAAATGTCCCACAGCATAAGTTGTCAACATTGTCCGTTTTCCTCTACAGCCAGTTAACACGCATGCCACAGTGCTGAGCTAATCTCAGACTAGTTGCATATTAACTTTGTCAGTCAACGATCTGTTTTAGTTTTAACTTAAATGATTGTAAATCGGCTCATAGCACAGGACAGGAAGTCTAATTTACTGTAGTAGAATACAGACAGTAACCTATGCTGAGGAACTAGTTTCCTTTAAAAAAAAGTAAATATGTAGACCCCTTCACAGGTAAAAGATGCTGCAGTATAAAAGGACTACGTGTGCGAATAAATGTGCAGCCTGTTTACAAAGCTGTCTTGAATTAAAAAATATATAAAAGAAAAAAAATCCCAAACCTATGAATTCATCATTTCAAAAGCCACAAAATGGGTGAGAAAATTTTCCTTGCACGCTGCCACCTGCACCCCTTAGAGGAATGTCGGCCACCCAGTTTCACGTCACACTCATTCACACACCTGCCCACCCAGCGCGTACCATGTAAGGCAAGAATGCAGACCGAACAAAAAAAATCCTTTTCAAGAGCTTAATAAACGATATGGATTACACAGTCTCTGCGTTTAATTTGGAGAAAGCTTCCTAACGCTGCAGGCGGCTATAGGATAATAAGTGTGTCACTGAGTCGGTTAGAGGAATGAAAGGAGCCTCGCTTCGTTCAGTCCTCAGTGAACGCCCTTTTTCGCTTCCCGGAAAGCAAACCAGACCGCTTCTTCTAGCCACAGTTATTCTCATATTTTAGACTGCTTCATTCACAAAAAAAGGCCGCTTAGCAGGGCCGAGAGGCGTCCTCTAAAAACAGCGAGCGAACAAAAATAGATGGGTTAACGTTGCCGTAAGTAACGCTTCCCTGTCAGGCGAGCACCGAACAATGACTGAGCAGCGCGGAGCATCAACGATTTCCACTTACAGCCGCTAGATGCGGCGATTAATGCAGGGTTTAAAAAGATACCTTACCAGAAGCACAAGCAGGGACTCTTTGGATAAAAACACCACCGAGCAACAGCAGTAAATAGATGTAACTAACCTGCGAGTGTCGTTAGACGGTGTTGTTCCTGATTCCCGGCCGCACAGCTGATGATCTCTCCCGCTCATCCACGGGGTTTCCCTCCAATCAAAGACACGGCAGCAGGGTCGAGCCCGGATGGATGACGTAAGAAGGGAGTTGCTATGGTAGCCAAATCTAAGGGCAAATTTTTTTAAGACTGCGCCGAATGAGCAAAAAACAAATAAACGAATTTCACAGAAAATTAACAAAAATACGATTATGATAATGTAAAACATTATGTAAAAAAATCTTCTAAATATAGATTTGATTTTTTTTTATATTTACGTACAAACGGCATAAACGCTTGGTTTCTCCGGTACGCCCGCAAGGATGCTTGGGAGATGTAGTTTATAGTTATTATAAATCAAATGAAACTTTTCAGGAGAATTTATACTTATATCTACAATACTTATATCTATCAAGACACTGGAAGGAAAAACGTTTGTGTTTTTAAAAAAAAAATCCTTTGTGAGTGTGTGTGTTTGTGTGTGTGTTTGTGTGTGTGAAAGGTCATTATGCAAGAAGATAGAAGCCAGGAGGAGGAACCCGGAAGTGGGGCAGGATTGACATAAAGTGGTTTTGTCTACCTTATTATATTTTCAAACGAGCATATTATTGGCCCGTGGCTTAGATATTAATGTAATTTCAGTTTCACTCTCATAATTTGCCGTTTAATAGAATAGAATGCCTTTATTGTCACTATACAGTTGTACAATGAGATACAGAGCATCTCCTACTCAGTGTAAACATGCGGGGGGGTACAGTTCTGCAGCGCTATGTACTCTGCCTTTACGGCCGTTTGTGTTAGCTGTGCACACCTGCCCACAAAGAATATGCATTTTTACTGAGACTGAAAACGTGATAGAAACGATTATGATAACGTGTGCTCTCTATATATGTCATTACTTTTAGAAACAAACACTAAAATCGCAAAATGGCATTTAATTTTTTTAATCCAGAAAAAGCTGCAAATAGCGGAGTCTTTGTACATCTTTATCATGTAAAACTATACCCATCAGAGCTTTCTACAAGGAGTGGTCTAACATGTATAGAGAGGAACTGATAAAATGAGGAAATTATGCAAAATAATGTTGGTGTCAGGCTAATATTATGTATACTGAAACTGTTTTATCTAATGCCTATATAAATACTGAGGTACTGTGGCTCTTCTCAGTAGAAAGGCTTCTTCATTCAAATGCCTTGACCCATTGAGTAGTCCAGACATCAGTCATGTTTTTCTAGTTATTCTAGTTTTACAAATTTCAGGTTTAGGTCTATTGTGATGGATCACTTCCCCTGACCTTGTAAAACTGGTTGAAAGTAGCAGCGATCCAAGCAAGTCTGTTATCAGGGTTGGGGATGGACGAAGACACCAATCAGACCCTGCAGTACTTTCTTAGAGACATAAATCATGCACAGAAGTTTTAGAATTAGAGGTGTGCTAATCAGTGGCCAAGCAGAACTAGAGTAAGGTAGATAAGCAGTGTTTGACAAATACAAATAAATATTCCCAAGCTCCTGCTGGACATGTTGATCACTAGCTATTATTACACCACACATAAACTAAATGAAAGCGGTGCTCTCCAAAATATTGTTCCACAGAAACACCGAAACAACACAGCAGGTGCCACGATGCCTAGACACTGGAGTTGAGCTGGTGCTTCAGTGTTTCTTTCTCACTAGTGCGATGAGAGCTGAAAATAGATGATCTATAGCCACAGGGAAATTCTTAACCTAATTAAGTTGTAACGAGTTTGTACGAGTGCTCTCATTTTTTTCCTGTGACTCTTGCATGTTGAGATCAAAGACAGGCTGTAGAAAAAAAAAATCTTACATATGTGTATGTGTTTATATGAATGAACATGTGTTGTGTTTTTGATTCACAAGTTTACAGATGGGAAGGCAGGATGTGGATTATGTGTGAGGAGGCTGGGGAACAATGTGGGTTGTGAGTCATTTGGCCGAGCTGCTCAAACAACTAAAACAACAGGCAGCGTGTCACTGACCGTGGTGTGTGTGTGTGTTTGTTACTTCTGAGTAGTCAGAATTAAAGGAAGTCAAGCCACATTTCCCCCTAAATGATTTAATTATGACAAAGAAGACAGATGGTGTGGTCTTTATGGTTTGAGTGACTTCACACATGAAGTGCAATGGTGTGGTTGTAGCCATGTCTGCATGGTTGGCTTACACACTATATTCTTGCAGTTATTGTGTTTCAGCTGAAGTGAAGCGTTTGTCATTACTGGACATGTTAAAGACCTCTTTATGCAGACTGAGTTGCATAATGGTTTAGAGGTTTTTGATTGTTAACTGCTGCACATTGAGCCATTTCAGCTGATCCAAGGTAACAGATGCACAATTTGAACTTGTTTTTGATATTTGGTACCGATTCTGTCACTTCCTGTACATATTTGTGTTTAAACCGGTGAGTAAAGCTCTGTGTAGCTGGGAGAGGAGATTAATTTATTCAGTTAAAAATGTCAGAACCTCCTGGGATGATGTTCATGTCAGCTACCAGTTACTCTCTGTGAGTCATCCTGCCATCCCTACAGTTAAAGCTCTGTATCCAGATACATTCAGTTCTTGGTGGGTGAGAGCTGATGACACATAAATGACATTCATTTACATAAAAGTTTTATGATTTTCCTCATTTTTTGTCACACAGTAAATACCATTAAAGTGGTGGATGCTTATAATAAACCGGGCCAGCCTACATGTGAGTAAGCCGTAAGCCAAAAACTCAGGCTTCACACATTTTATTCTACTCCCGGGGTGTGTCCGGTATTACTCACTCAGCCTATGCAGCACACCCAAAGCGTCCCACACTGCCTCACAAAAAGGAGTGTAAAACCAGTGGTCATTATCCAAGCACGGTATGCTGTCATGCAATGAACTGAAGTAAAAAAGACAGCCTTACAGTCACGAGACTAAAAATGTAATAACTGTGTAACTACCAGTATTTATTTATCCAGCCTGTTTTCATCTGTTTTGCTCGACAGTTACTATGTAACTAACAGCACAGAGAAAATGACGTGATCAGTGATCACTGTACACTCACTGGCTATTTTATTAGGTACACCTGATGGTTAAAGAGGTATCACAGAATTAAAAAAGGTGCTGGAAATATTCCTCAGAGATTAATGTCAATGCTGACATGATAGCATCACAGTTACTGCAGATTTGTCAATAGAGCATCCCAACAATGCTCTATTGGTTTGAAATCTGGTGACTATGGAAGCCATTTGAGTACACTGATCTTATTGTGATGTTCAACAAAAAAGTTTGACATTATTTGAGCTTTGTGATATGATATAATCACGTATCAGATGGGTACACTGGTTATAAAGGGATGGCCATGGTTAGCCATAATACTCAGGTAGGCTGTGGGGTTTAAACCATATGCAGCCTGAACTATTGATACAAGGCATGATAGGTCTATACCTTCACATTATTGACACCAAGTTCTGATTCCACCATCCTAATGTCACAAAGGAATTTGAGACCGAACGATTGCCCAGTCTTCTTCCAGTTTTGGCGAGCTTGTGTGAATTGTAGCCTCAGTTTCCTATTCCTACCTGACAGGAACGGCGCCCTGTGTGGTCTTCTGCTGCTGTAGCTCATCTGCTTTTAGGCTCAATGTTTGCATCCAGATTATAGTGAATGGTTACTTGAGTTGCTGTTGCCTTCCTATTAGCTTGAAGCAGTCTGGCCATTCTCCTCTGAACTGTGACATCAAAAAGCGGATTTCACACAGAGACATTTCACTGGACATAGTCATCTGTCAAAAAGAGGAAATGTGGGAAAATCCCAGTAGATCAGCAGTTTCTGAAATACTCAAGAGTAGCCCGTCTAATACCAATCACCATAAACCGGTTAAATCACATTTTCTCCCCATTCTGATGCTCAGTTTGAACTTCAGCAAGTTATCTTAATCATGTCTACATGACTAAGACATGAGAAGCAGCAAATCAGAGAAAGTCAGATTAAAGTTGAAGGAGCGCACAGAGCTTGTTTTACACAGGATGCACTGAGCTGTACAGAGGCTCAATATAAGATGCATAAGAAAGAATTTGAACTGAATCTAGCAGAGTGCAAAAAATAAAAACATGGCACTGGAAATGATCTCCAGAGATCCACTTTAAAGCCGTTTTCAGGAATGGAATCGAGGCTCACGCCTGGACTTGTTCAAGGTTGTCCTTTCCTCACTTATAGCCCAAAACAGTAGATAATCCCATCTCACTATTGGGAATACTCAGTTTGGTTTAAGAAAAGGCGGTGCCTGGAAAGAGTGGAGCTGGACGCCCACTCGCTCGCTGTAAATCCACGGTAATTGCCCAAGCTAGTCTCACAATCGGACATCACACAGACTTTGTTCTGCCCAGATTCTGAGTCAAAGACCATTAATCCCGAAGGGCAAACAGGTTCTCACATGCAGCCTCGCTGAGTAATAAGAAAAGAAACAGTCAGGTTTAGAAGGCAGGAGAAAGTAAAAAAGAGAAGCAGAGAAGTGCTGTTACTTTGGAAGGAAGACAATAAATTACTCGGCACAAAATTAAACAACCAACACACAAGCAGAGTGAAGGAACACAGGGACTGTTTGTGATAACATTACCTGCTTAAACACATAATGTATCAGTGAAATTCATCCTTGCCAGAAAACATTATCACACAAAGCAGAGCTACAACAAAGTGAACCTTTAATAAAATGACTTAACAATTCATCATTGGAGCATACATTCATTGGTTTACAATTCATCCAGCTGCTTGGAAATGGCTATCAAAATGTCACTTTTTTTTACTGAAACAATTACGAAATTATGATGAATTAAAATGAGAATATGCAGTAATAACCAGGCAGACACGACCGAGGACGATTTACGCTCTGAGCACTTATGGATAAAGATTCACAGTCCCCGTTTCCATTCAGCGCTCAAAGCACTAATTAAGAAGATGAGGTCAGTTTTGTCACCGCTGTAACTTCAGCAAACACTGTGCATTTATCTCGAGCGATCAATCCACCAAAGCTAAAGCGTAAAGAGACAAGAGCGGGCAGCAAGAAATACTCCAATACGCCAGTTTGTTCAGGGAAGCTGAATAAGAAGCCATCTCCTTTTACAACTTTTCATCGTTCACAGGTCTTACAGGTCTGCGAAGGCGAGCACACCGGACTTGACCCGGCCTGTTAAAGAATTAATAGACAAGTGCTTCATGTTGGTCACGTGAAATCATCCGTTGCTGTCAGACTGAGACGAGAGCAGAGCCGGCACAGGGTTGAAGAGTTTAGTATCCATGTCGACGACCACCTACGCCTCCACTCCCTCTAACTCAGGGGGCAGAGGGGATTTTGGGTGTTTGCTCTCAAAGTGCTGCTTGAAGGTTTTGGGGTCCGGCATCTGAGACTGTGAGAAGAAATGAAACATCCAACAGTTGTTAAAGGAAAGGAGGATTTGGAGGAAAAGGCACTGCATTTGGTTTCAAATATGACTCCCGCCCTCATTTGGGAGTTCTGAGGGGTCATACTTACTCTGCACACAGCGCAGGTGAATACGAGCGCTGCCTTGGCCGCCGTCTTTTGATCGTGACCTTTGGCCTTCTTCATCTCCGCCTGCTTCTTGGCGTTTTTCTGCTGGGACTGAATCTTCTGATGCCCTCGTGCCATGCTGGGAATGCAGAGAGAGGAAGATGTAAGGACAGAATACTTATGCATGAGCAATCAGTAAGTAAACAACTAATTACGGTTATTTTTGTGTGTAAGGAGCAGCTTAATAATACCATGTTTGCTCATAAACAATGAGAAAACAGTGATCAATCAAGGACAGTGCAAGGACTCCCTTAAATGCAGTTTAGGGTTTAATGCAGCAGTGTCAAACATAAGGCCTGGGGGTCAAAAGAGGCCTGGCACAGACTCAAACGAGCCCACTGAATGGCTTTGGAAAATGTGAAGTATGGCATAAATTTTGGACTTTTAACTGTATTTTAAGTTTCAGTTTTACAGCATTACCTTCACTGATAAACATCACCCTAATGGTCATATTACACCAAATTAAGTTATAGATAAACAATCACATGACATTTTTACGGTCTACTATAGATAGTAAGTAGTTAAACTTCTTTATGCTGACAGAAACACTGATTTCACTGCTTCGGCCCACTTAAGATCAACACGAGCTTTATGTGGCCCACAATGTAAAATAAGTTTGACAGTATTAGTGCACTAAACATTACAAACACTTACCATTGTGATTTTCTCATTTCAAAGAGAAAGTAACTTTCCCCCTTTTTGGGGGACCAGGACCAGGTTTGTCAGCTTTATGCTACAAGGTAATTACATTTTGGCATTTTTACAAGCTTTACAACCAAAGGAACAAGTTTTCTCATGCTCTTACATGCTTTTAAATGTTGATCTTAGCTTTAATTGACTAGTTTAGCCTGTTCTCTGCAGATCAGATTGTCAGTGAGTGAGAACCTTGCTTGATAACGGTTTGGGTGGATACCAGTAAAGGTTTGGTTATGTAACCAAGATGTCTGTGGAGGCTCATAACTACAGGACAAACAGTCACTGTGTGTGTGGTACCTTTAACCCATAGACCAAAAATAAGGTTCTGCTGAACAACAACAATGCTGGGCCACAGAAAAAAAGCAACAGATTTTATCATTTAGATTGCTTTTAGGGGGCACGTTAATCAAATACCCCCCCCCCACCACCCCCCCCC